TTAATGATTTGCTAACATCCTTACACTCACTAGACAAACTTTCTACTCAAGGGCAGAAGAAGTTTCATTACTGTACAATTGCAGGGCTTTCAAATTAATGTGTAGGGCCTTGAAGTTTTGATTTTAGTGAGTAGTACTGTCAGAACCTGTTGTACAAGCTATTAAAGTGGGTATATACACTTGATTTCAGTATCCCAAATGTAAATTGTGCATTCAATTACCTGGTGATATACTTATTTTATAACCTAACTGTATATCAGCTACTACACTGTCTTCTTCAACAATCTGAGAGACTGTTTGCTTGTGTATAGGTCCTCTGGATTTTGCTCAGGAAGACTGGACTGGAGAGAAAAAAAGCTGTATAAAGGTATGTATTACTTTTCCAATCTTTGTCATTAGACACTCATAGCTAACAAGTTCACACACGAGTGTACAAACTTTTGGGGTATACCAGCCCTTTTCTACAAGGTTTGAGGTGTGTTTCATTTTGTTTTTGAATTTTTTGTTTTCTTTGATCTTTACTAAAGCCTACTGAAGACATTTCTAATACACATCACACTGCTTATGAATTATTGCAACCTCAGTATGTAGCTTTTCTTTGCTCGAGTGTAATGCATCCGAAATTGATAATTGCATGTCCAGGGACAGTTGCATTCTCTCCAGACAGGAGTATACTACCTGAAGTTTGTCTTACACTTGTAAAAGAGTAGTTTTGCACATTTTGGCCCTAGAATTCACAGCAAGGAGCTTCTTACTTGTGAGTACCAGCCTATTATCCCTTTCTCTCAGTTTCTGACCTAATCTTGCTGAAGAATTCTTCAAACAGTAAAGGGATTGTGTGCATGTCTCCAAACAAGCCTTTAGATGACTACAATGTTCTATAGTGTGCTCTGAGTCCAAACGATTCGATTCTAGTGATACCAGTAAGTCCTACTTCTCTTTAAGTTTGATGTGCAGTTTTCTGACCACTTTTGTAAGAGTACTGGAACTACCTCTGCTTTTGGTGACATGCTTACAGAGGTTACTGATCACCTGTAAATAATTGCAGGTGAGTTTTTCTCAACACTTGAGCAGTTTCATTGTGTGTTCTAAGCTCTTTCTTGTGTCTTCCAACTCTTTCATTGCGGCCGAACAGGCTGCAGACCTTGTTCTGCACGATTCTGGCACAGGAGGAGGTAGAGGGCCTAAAGTATTGAGGCAAAGGTGATTTCTTACTCTGTTTAATTGTTTTTTGTGTGATCTTGAAGCTACCATGGCTATTATTTAGTAGTTAGTTTCATATAGTTTATTTTAGTTATTTTTTGAGAATTACCAGTGGGTGTACAAATTAAAATTGCAAATTCTGTCATTTTAATCCTCCAGGCTACATTGAAATCTGCTGTGTCCAGACATGCAAGACTGTATGCCCTTAGGTAAATCTTCTGCTTCTACTTCCCACAGATCCAATCAAGGTTAATGCTTCTAAAGTTAATCATAATTCATGTAAATCTATTCTAAGAAGAATTACAGAAGGAAATTAGCTATAAAAAATTATTCACAAAGATATTAGTAGTTTTGTGTGTAATTTTAATGTTTCTCACTCAATTTTTAATAAATTTTAATTTCCCTCTGTAAAAAGTTTCTTTACTATCTTGAAATTATTATTATTATTATTTTACTATTTTAAATTACATATGGAGAGTGGAAAACGCTCTCGCAGCAAGGTATCTAGAGGCTGGACACACTGCATGCTGACCTAATTGATGGATCACTTACTTTGAAACTGTGGGAACGACCGTGTTGTACAACTGAAAAGCAGACCCCCAAATACAGTTGCTGTCACAGGAGGCCAGAGGCAAGGCTAGCTTTGCATCTTTGTGAATACTAGGCTAGTACATATAGTGATACTACTAAAGTCTACAAGACCTTCTTTGTAGTGTAACATTATAGTATTAATACTATCACATATTAGATTAGATTACTTGATGTGGCAAGCTTCAAAGATAGACTCGGATAACTTTGCTTAACAACTATCAAGAGCAATTCATCAACATCACCCATTAAGAGTCTTATAAACTAGAGATATTCTTTTAATTCACTTGTCTAGCACTCTTTGATTAGTTCACACAGGAATAGTGAGAACCAAAAGACTTGATTGGATTGATATAGGAATGGTACTTTGCTAGCAGAAATTAGAAATTCTACTTGCTACAATCTGTGGCACATTGTTTCTGATACCATCTTTCTCCTTACAGAAAGGTGTACTTTGGTACAAGCCTTTGTACTAGTATTTTTTTGTCTAGTAGAGTAGCAACTACTTTTACTTGTACTCTTCTCTAGTATTTATATTTCAACTAATAATTGTATATTCAAATTTTAATTATTGATACATTAGAAAGTTAATTTACTCAACAAAGAATCCACCCAAGATTTAAACATTAAATGACTGTAAATATGGACAGCAAATACAGTACAAAGTAAACTATAAGATACTACCCATTTCATATACTAATAACTCCTTATACTTATACACACAGTACTACAGTACTATAGTATTTGCAAAATTATATTTATAGTAGATCACTTATATCTAAACTATTACTTTACACTATTCTATATATAGGAATGTATATATCTGTACAAAGTGTGTTTTTGCAATCTACAGTATTTATAATAAAATGCAATATAGTAAGGTATTTAAAGAGTAGTAATACTAATCTTAGACTTCAATACTCAAGTGTGTTCTCAAGTTCAACAAGTAGTTAATATTTACTGTAACAATGTCATCATCTCCAAATGACAGGTTCTTACTCTGGTTAAACAACAACTTTGAAAGTGTACCATCAAATATACAGGGAACTGCACATGAAATTGAAAGGAAAGTACAAGGGAATGGTAGGTCATTTTATTACTTAGTTTTGTTGATACAACAATCAAGATTTAACTATATCTAATTAATTATTGAAGAATTAGAATTTCAGAAATTTGATCCCCACCAAGGTGGTTTGTTTGACTATTCTGTTAAATATAAAGGCAATCCAGTTCTGGATTATACAGTAGCAAGCATACAAGGACTTCTAGATAGCTTGAAGGAGATCATGACAAAATAATAAGACAATACTACAGTTGTAGCAAAGTACCTGCTGACTATCTAACTATTTGAGTAGACCAAAGTTAGAAATAGAATAAATAGAATTACACTTATACTTAAGTAATGAGTCACTTGTTCTGATACCAAGCCAGGCTATGTAGACCACTATCCTTACTCAGAGTTTTATCCCCTTCTTGAAGCACAAAGTCAACTGATAAGATATCAAACTGGCAAATAGGTGGCTTTCTTTAGTGTTGTAGTTCACATAGGGCATTTCACAATTCCTTACCTTAAAAAATAACTTACATAATGATAAACATTATTTGAAATTTATTTTCCCATTTTTGACCAGTAAAAATTATAAACAAAATTTAAAACTTTCTTTATACAAAAACTAGAAATTATTGTTGACATTTCTTCATTTGTAAAATCTTGAAATAAATAGAGATAATAATCTAAAACATAATTTCAAAACAAAATTAGAAATTTTCTTTTGAATTTTTTGTTACTCCTCTGTACTAGTAATAAAGAAATTTAAAAGAAAATTTCTAATTTTGTTTTGAAATTATGTTTTAGATTATTATTTCCATTTATTTAAAGATATTACAA